TCTGCATCTCACGTATGAACATGTGAAAAAAAGATGCTTCAGTTGTGGAGTTATGTCAAAAAAAAATCCGCCGTTCCCAAAAACGCTTTCCCTCCAAAAAATTTCACGTGCCCGTACGCGAGAACAACACGGACCTAAGCTTCCATTTTGAGGATAGAAGCCCATACGTATGTGTAGATTAAGTTACCAAAATTTTAGCCCTGTAGCTTTTATGGATCTCGAGATGAAAACTTGTTACAAACGCACACACAAAAACACATACACACAGAAAGCCTCTCAACAATATGCGTTTTTGCATTGCATAGATGCAAAAAAAAACGCATAAAAACTTGAAATCTGCTCCTGGTAAAGAATTGCTCTTCTTAGGCTGCTGCTTGTACTCAGTAAAATTTTAATCGTAACCACAGTTTTGAAACTACAGATTGCTGGAAATGTGAGCCGTCTCCAAACTTGTTAGCTGAATGTGAAGAGTCATTTTTGACCAACGGAAGACAGTGTGGAACGATACTATCACGATTTGAGGAACGTGGTTACCACTGCATCGTGGAAATACTGAACTGCTTTCCGAAGCATACTTTTGCAGAACACGCAGAAGCCAGTTTCCTCGTTGCACACGGAAGATTATTAAATTCACCAGACAACGATACGTTAGTTACTTAGCATTTGCATCAGCTAGCTTGAATATGCATCTTATAAATTTGCAGCAGCACGAAACATTTTAACTGCAGCTAAATGCAAAGCATGCCAGCATCAGGCAGCAACGCATATACAACATATATGCGCATGCAGTTCTGTGACAGCAGACCGCATCTATCTGTTTGTTTTACTCGGCTACCCGTCAGGATAAACTTCAAAACTACATAAACTGAAAAGCTAAAATTAGATAAAAGAAAATCATCTGCGGAAAGAAAAGCATTTTTGTTTCTCTATTTTGATGTGCCTCAATATTTCGATGAACAGCATCAGTATAAGCGTACTGATGTATTTCAGAAAATGTATTTTAAAATAGCTATAAAATGACATTAATCAAGCAGCAAGGCATGCCAGCATCAGGCAGCAACGCACATAGTTGCCCTAACGTTTGGAGATGTCCATTAACGTGAGCAACATCGAATCGTCAATAGGACTGTCCAAGTAGTCTTGATAATTATGGTTTTCAGCACTGTTCCTAATTGTTTCAGTTCGTTACGATATTTTCCGTTGACCGGCCCGGATGGGGCGAAGTTGGCTGTAATTCCGTGTACACTGGATGGGATCTGGGAGGCGCTGTCGACGACGGGTGAGCGCTTTGAAGTAAGCACGGTGCAGTGCATCACGTCAGATGTTCCATCAATGAACCATATTTCTCCGTTTGTCAACTATTTATATCGGCGTTAAAATGGCTTCCAGAAAAAGTGTGCTCTTGATGGTCGCGTGAATTTGTTATTTTTTGAAATTCTGCTGTATTTCACTGAATCAAAACTGAAAATCTGAATAATTTAGATAATTCAAAGAGGGGGACTGGAAATCTGGGCCCGTACGTGGACATCGCGCGAGTATGAGCGCCCATTTTGGGGACTGGGGCCTATACATACATGTAGATTAAGTCCCCAAAGTTTCAGCCC